AGCAACACGCCTTTACAAATACATAGCAGCCTGTGTGCTCCCCAATCTGAATATTGAATGAGAGTAAAATACAATTAATTTAAGTTTGAAACAGAGATATTACATTATGTTGGCACAATGTGTCAACATAAAGGGAAAGAACAGGTGGTAATACACCATAATAACACTTCTGGATATTTTGCTGAAATTCTCTGGATGCTCAAATGCGCATCCTAGGAGGGCATATTTGCTTTGCTGGCAATTCCTGCAAACTGTCAGGGAAGGGCTGCCACGCAGCAGCAGAGCCGTGGCCCGTCGATGCATATGCTCCCCGTTGTAAGCGCCGTGTCTGCTTCCACCTATTGGACCCTCTTTCTTCTTGTCCCTGGGATGGGCCTGCATTCTGTGTGTCGTAAACCCATACTTTTTTAAACCACTGGACTTTGATTATGGAGTTGCTTTATAATACCCATTGAGTTATATAGGGTTAACCATTATTTAATTTCATCCTTTACTTATAAAACAAATTCTCCAAAAGACCCTCAACTATTTCCACTAAGAGAGAACCCAAAGTTACTTATTAGGTTTGAAATAAAATTCAGAAGAGAAAGAGGAAAACATTTTGCCATCGTATGTCCAAGCCTTAAATGATCATTGTGATCACATCTCTATTAGAAAGTCTTAGCCCCAATTTTGAGAGGCAGAATGGGGCCATGGGAGTAATTTCCCTTTTTACCATGACAGTCAAAAATAGTGACTCTTACATTCTTTGGGTCTGTAATTACCTTATACCAGCGATTTTCAAAGGGTGGGCCACAAGAATTTTAAAACATGCAATACCTGACTATAGTCAGGGGCACTGACCACGTTCCTTTAGATTGTCAAATTTCAAAAGTATCAACAACCAACATAACACTAGCCATCCAGTGTGAATGAATCGAAACTATACCTATTTTTTTTGTCATATTGTGCCACAGAATTTTAGTGATTAGTTTATGTGCACCATGAGATGAAAAAGGTTGAAAATAGCTGCCTTATATGATCAGATAAAAAGACAGTGAAATGGCCCTGGCTGGTGTAGCTCAGTGGTTGAGCCAGCCTATGAACCAGGAGGTAACAGTTCCACTCCCGGTCAGGGCACATGCCCGGGTTGTGGGCTTGATCCGCAGTGTGGAGTGTGAAGGAGGCAGCTAATCAATGATTCTCATCATTGATGTTTCTATCTCTCTTTCCCTCTCCCTTCCTCTCTGAAATCAATAAAAATTATATTTAAAAAAGAGAGTGAAATGTTACCTTAATGTTCCCCTCTTGCTATAATAAAAATAAAAGGCCCCATTGTAATAGAATTAGTGGTTAAACCCTACATATTTATATTTGCTGCCTTGAGGAATTACCTAACTCTCACAATAAGAACATAAATACTTAAATGTCTAACCACTATGCTGTACACCTGAAACGAACATAATATCGAATGTCAACTATAATTGAAAAATAAAAAAAGAACATTATTCTTTTCCACCAGAAACGTGGCTACAAGTACTGACTTTTTATATTGCTAATGTGAAGGACCGATCATGGGTTAGGAAAGGCCTTTATAGACCTCTGCCTTTCAAAACCACTGGTCTTAAAACCACATGACCTCCTCTAGTGAGGGGGGTGGGATAATTAGGAAAAGGTACCTGGGGTCAGAAAGATAATAAGGAAGGGTCAGATGGCCGGTAGTACAGGCAACTGGTTTCTTGAAATACAACTTTGACAAAGTAGAAGCTAAGGGAGCACAGAGGTGCTTGGACTAACACTCCCTGCTGAGTGACTGGGTCAGGGGTGGGGCAAGAGGGGCTGAGTCAA